TTTTTCAATAAATTCTTTTGTCAAAACCACTTGCAATCTGATTCATAGCTGAGCGCCTTGCCGCCGGTTACATATTGCTCTTACTTGTTGATGGTAGTTGGTTGCATTAATGGCACCTACCATCCATGCATTACTTGATTTAAAATATCTTTTAGATGATTGGAAGGAACAACTGAAGAAGTACATTGATGAAGATAACTTACCTGAGTTTTATGGTGGTAAAGGATGTGATGATAATGATCCAAAGTGTAGTTCTGAGGTATGAAGACAGAACATCCAACTCACTCTTCCCCTCTACCATAGAGACTGTTACTATGACCCCTCCCTCTATGGTGGGGTTTTTTTCTCACTCTTCTCATACTTCTCTCAACCTTCATTCATCTCACAAAAACTATTGTTAGTAATACCAAAGGATATAACCTCCACTCTATTAAGGTCATTTCAACCTCCGGGAAATGCAAATCTTCCTAAGTCTGCAGACTGACTGAGCCATGGGTGTGTGGGAGAGGTATAGATAATTATAATTAAGTCATTATTTTTGTTGTTCCATTTTTAAATACTTTATAAGCTGCAAATTAAGTTGACCATGGTTTCCATGTATTTCAATTTCAACACTATTCCAAGTCCCTAAATGCAAAATTCAGCAGTTGGCTAATGATTTTCTTTGCATTTGTTGCCAAGATCTGTTATGGAGGCACCATACCAGAGTCTTACTACCTTGCAAAGACACCATTTGGGAAGTCTGAAGGTTCTATACTGGCTACAGTTGATAGAGGCAAACATCTTGATGTGGAACAAGTTGTGGAGACACCTGGCTCTATCATTAGGTAACCATCAATGTATTCATGATGTAAATTGTAGATATAGCTCTGTCAAAAGGATTATTGAGATAACTTAGCAACACTCTGAAAAAAGACCTGAAAACGGTTTTCATTTTAGTTGGGAATTCAGGACCAAGGAGCATGACATTGGTTTTGGGATATACCTATCTGCTGCAACACTAGAAGAGAAAGAAGAGATGGAAGAATTAGTGAGTAGCTTACTAATCATTGACATCACTATCATCATCATCATTATCACCACCACCACCATCTTCATCATCACCATCACCATAGCAACTTGCACCACTACCATCATAGGCATCTGCTTCATCCCCATCATCATCAGGAGCTGTACCATCATCATCACCAGCAAAAACTAGCACCATCATCATCATCACCAGCAGCAACTAGCACCATCATCATCCTCATCACCAGCAGCAACTAGCACCATCATCATCATCATCACCAGCTGCAACTAGCACCATCATCATCATCATCACCAGCAGCAACTAGCACCATCATTAGCACCATCATCATCCACATCACCAGGAGCAACTAGCACCATATCATTACCACCATCATCATCATCATCAACTATTTTTATGGAAACCAACCTTATAGTAAGTGTCAATGTTGCTTTTCATCAAATAGCTTCCAATCCAAAGAGTAAACAGTCAATTTGTTCCTGAGCTGGGATCCATCAAATGTGAATGTCCAGGAAAATGTAAGTGGGAACAATATTAACTCTGAGCACAGGCCATACCTTCAGCTACATCTTCTGGCATTATGGACACCGACTGCCATTAAATTCTATCTTGGCATAAGATTTTGATTTTATTCATACAACCATCTATGTCTTCTCATATCTTATCAAATGCTTTTAAAAAGAATATGTAACACAGTCTGAAATTTAGAGCCAAAGACATTCCCAAGAGGGTCAAGTGGCAAAGACATGGTTTTTTAACAATGGATGCTAATGCAAAATCTTTGTTAAAATGCCACAACATGTGAACAAAGAATATAGTAAAAAATATGGTGCTTATTATAATGTATGATTCTTTTCTCTTACAGACATTGTACGTTTTGACAATTCCTACAGCTGGGTAACCAAAAAAGTTGTAGAGTATCGAATAGATGTCAATAGCACACCAAGTAATTCCCAAGATTGATAAGTGCAACATTAACTTTAAAATTGGAATTGAAATTAAAAATTAGATTGTTAGGATATAATGGGTCATAACTATAGAATGTAGTAGTATTGAGAGATTACTTGAAAGGTCATGGCAAAGTGCCACAAGGGAGCATACATGGCAAAGACTCATGGGAAGAGGTGAATAGCCCATGTACTGTACAGTGGTACCTCTATTAAGTGTACCTTGGTTGGCATCTGCTGAATGGAGTATTTTTACAGTAAATATTGATTTATAGCTGTCTGTTTAAAAAGGGGGTTCACTTAATAGAGGTATCACTGCAGTACTTTGTCTAAATCTAACCCAGGTCAACTGTCCTATTCTTAGGGACAGTGTACCCACATGAGATATAGATATAAAAATAAAACCGTCGCCATGCTGGTTGATTTGATATTGTCAACCAGCAAGGCAGCTATGACATGCACCCTGAGCATGAGGACGCTATGGCCATGATGGAGGATTTTCCATTCCTATGTATGCTCCTTTGAAAATTGTTTCTTGTTGAAATCTGCTCTGAACAGAGCAGTATAATATGGATTTTTTTAAGGTAAAAACACAAATGTATACCACTGATCAGGGTTATTAATGCATGTACAGGAAAAAATGAAGGGTGTAAATGTAAACATAGATGTAATGGGTAATATATTTATAATAAATTATAGTTATTTATCATCGCATGAAATATAACAATGAACAAAACTTGTAACAAATCCCAATTTTTATTGTTTTTATATTTTAAACTAATTATACATCATACTTTGAAATGATTCACAAACGATTACAGTTCTGTCTACGCACTAGGTAAATGTAAGTACTAGCCATTTTGTGTTTAGGTATAAAAGATTTACCATATAGCTAATTTATTTTTTTGATACTTAGTGTTTAATGATTAATTACTGTATATGGGTCATGAAATAAAAGGGTAGAACAATGAAATATAGCACCATTGTCAATTGTATTTTAAACAAATTTAAGTCATGCTGGTCAGAAGTCTCTCACTGGACACATGCATACACGTACAGGGCAATGGGGTCACTGTAGATGTGCTCCATTGCTCCCACCCCCTCCCCCCTTGAGTAGGTAGTATATTAGGTAATTACATCCCAACTGGGTTGGATGGTGAGCCATGGGTCCTTGCTTGTAGCAGGTGGACTTTTTCATCCTCAGTGGTGCCTGAAACACTTGTTTAGTTTAACCATCATTATATCATTTTAAAGGACTATAACACATGGACGATTTATCTCACAGACTCTCGCAACCTACACTCTTTACTTTCCAGAGTTATTTTCTGTGCAACTCTTTCAGTTTGTTCAACAATATTTCCTTATTGTCATATCTTTGTTCTGTTGTCATGTTAATCCAGTCTTCATCACTAAGTTCCTTTCCAAACAAAGTTAGTTGTGCTTTCTCACACTCTTGTCTTGTTGTCTTCAACACTTGCTTTGCCACTTCTTGTATTGCTTCATTTTCCTGTGCTGTGCCGTGTATTACTGCAGTAAACAGCAATGACAACATACATGTAATTATCAATTTTTTTTCTTGTGGAAGAATATGCCCCCATCTAATCCACAAAGTCTTCAAGACTCAGAGATGGAACTCCCTAAAGTTCTTTCTTAAGCCTGCATGGGTTTGGGGTTGAGGTAAAGAATAAGGAAGAAAAGTAGGCAGCCGGAAGAGAGCCTCACCTTTGCCTTTCTTTCTCAATAAACCACTTGAAAATTATCTTGCAAGGGATGGAATAGTCTCATGATCATATCCCTTGTCCTCCCCTAGCCACCAAAACCAACCACCCCTTTGATCTTGGAAACTCTAGTACAGATTAAACAGCAAAGCTTCATCAAACTTACAGTGATTCACTCCATACATAGCTTGACTCAGTAAACCCTTAAGGATGTTTTTCACTTCATCTTTTTGGGATGATTGAGGAACAGCAATGGAAGAAACTGGTGTTGGAGGAAGACTTGCTGACTTGGCAGCTGATAGACTGTGTCTAGATGGAGCCAGGTGTTCCTGACCTTTTTGGGCTTGGAATCTTGCAAGTTGTTCCTGTAGTTGTCTTATCTCTGAGCTCATTTCTTGCTCCATCAGGTGTCTTGTTTGACGCTCTTGTGTTAGTTCATGTTCCAGAGATGTGATCTTGTCAACTTGGGTTTGCTTGTCTTTGTTAAAAACGTCTCTCAAGGTTTGCTCTTCCTCTCTTTGTCTTTGGATTTCTTCCTTCCTAAAATACGAGTTCCAATGATTTAATGCAAGAACCCTTATATTTTACAACCATCAATCCCCCATAAGGGGCTCCTCTGTGAGGTTTGCTCCACATACACTAAGTAACCACAACATTTAAAACTCAACTCACAAGTTAATTTTAATTGTAAAATGAAAACTGGAGAACCCAGGAAAAAATTCCTTGTGGAAAGGAAGAGAACAACACATCAAACTGCCTGTTCAGAATAATGAGGAAAAGGAACCTCAATTTATTTGGATGAACTTTTTAAAGAAGTAAAACATTGTCTTTGTCTAGGTTGCAATGTTGACTGTACAGTATGAGAAAAATAGCTTGAACCTCCTTGGCCTCACATCTTACCTTCTCTGCTTTTGAAGAAGCAGTCTCTCCATCTCTCTGGCTTCTCTTGCTGCTTGTCTGTCTTCAGGTCTTTGCCTTGTGGCTGGTCGTTCTTGGAACCACCACGTCCATGGCTGTGTGGCACCTAATGCTGAAATTATATGACACAAGAGAAAAAACAGCATTTGGTTTTTAGTAGCACAACCCCTAGGTATGTTTATATTTACATCCCACATGGCTTAAAGGTTTGATTTGGTTTATACATACTAGCAACAGGATCAACCAGTGGTAGTTCTGAACCTTGGAGATCATTAATTTGTTGCTTCCAACTTGGCATGAACCTTTCATCAATCTTTGAAAAGAGAAAAAGATGAGAAAATTGTTAAATTTGTTAGTTTTAAAAGTCAGCATCCCAATTGTCATGTTGGACCCAGGAACTGAACCCGAAACCCCAGAGGTGAGAGATGAGTATATGACTGCTAATTCCCAGCTACTGGATCACAAAGCAAAACAAAGTGCAGCCTGTATAATTTGGCTCATTGCATAACAGAATCATTTAATAAATATTGTTTTTATTAATAATAGTTGATAATGAAACAGGATTTTTTTTGCACCATTACGTAGTAGTACATCAACATGCAGTACCAAATATATTGTACAAATTTACACTAACTGCAAGTACATAAAACCAGAGATGTGAAGAACCAAAGTTTTGGAATAATATAAAAGAAACATGCTGTTGATTAACAGTTGCCATCACTTCCAGAATATACCTCATTCTGGAATTGTCTTGTCTTCAATTCCTTTGCTCCACTTAACAATACCTCTTCAACATCTTTTTCCTGTTAAAGAAAAGAGCTTCTAAAAGTATTTCCCTATACAATATTTCATATGCTAGCATATAGTTGACTGCTTTCAGCACAGCTGAAGAATTAAAACGAAAACTTTATAAACAAAAAAAATCAGAGATACGTACATTGTGACACATGAGAATCTTGTCTTTCAATAAAATCAAAAGAACTACAGCAAACGTTGGTATGCAGTTCAGTTTCTGTAGCTTCATACTTAGAATATGTTGGTCCCAGATATAACATACTACATCCATTGGTAAGTAACCTGACATATATCAATAAAAGGGATTGGACAAAACATTTTTATTTAAAACAAGACTAGTAAATAAGAATGAAATTTGTAAGCTAAAAAATTTTTGAAAAAATTAAATTTCAATTAAAAAAAATTTTAAATTAATAAATTTCTCTGAAGATGCAAGTATTCCTTTGGCAATGAGACTAGTTAGACTTTCACTATCCATTGATGATACTTCAACTTATAATGCTATTTACTGGTCCTTACCAACAAATGAGCTTCTTAAATATGATCTCATCAGGGAAGAAAGACAAGAGGCCAGACTTGCCGAGTTGTTGCCTGAGGCAAAAATAAAGTCTTACTTACATTGACAGTAATAGACCTTTGTCATGCAGCAGCCATGTTTATTCCCTTGAGATCAATTCCTTTGTTTCTGGCCATCCAAACTCATTCTGAAGTGCATGGCTAGCTGGACAAAAATCTATCGTTTCAGCCAACATGGCTGATGAGTGAGAAAGGTCTATGCTATAGCGTTTCCAATGCAAAAAAAAAAAAGTAGCATGAGCAATATACTACAGTAGATAGAGTATTTCATTATAAGTAAGCCTCTCAATTGACAATAGAATTGGTTTGATATACACCAGGGCCTGGTGGTGGTGGTGAAAGATTTATCCGTCAGATAGCGCTATCCATCCTTTCTACAACTCCGGGCCCAGGTAAATGTAAAGTAAAGAGAGCACTGTTACCTTGAGCAAATGACTTCACTATTGATGCTGCAAGTTGATGGTCTTGCGATTCTAATATGGTTGCCATGGTGTCTCCTATTTCTTTAAGTGCTGCATGAAATTCCTGTAAATAATGAAATGCTATATAAATGGATTTTGGAATGGGCAGGCTGAAAGAACAATTATTACTCCTCCTATTTCTTTTGCTCTTAGTTAAACGAGCAATGCAATTTTACTGTTGCATGCAGAAGTTACATCACAGCGCATAATGCCAGCCTCATACTTGCAAGAGTACCAAGCTTAGATGAATAAGCTAGCCTATAAAAAATCTGTCAGGTCTAAGTTGAATAGGACTAAAATACCTTTGTTCCTGAGTCTTTCATATAGGTAGGCCTCAACTCCATAAATGTAAAGAATATCCCAACAAAATTTGCAACAGTACTGTTAAGACTGTCACCATGGTAACTATCACCATGGATACTGATATCCTGTACTAAAACCTTAACAAATGGAAGAATTAACAAATAGTCTGTGTCTGCCAGTGATTCCTTGAGAGAAGAGTGTTTGTAGGTCAGACAGTTTTTCATAACGTAAATAACAATAGATGAATGTTGAGAGGAAAGCCCTTGAAAACTTTGTTCTGAAGCCAAGAACGCTTCACATCTTTGCTCAATGGAACTCTCTATCGTATTAGTGTTATTGTTAGTTTTCGAGCTTTTCAGCTTCCTGTTCAAGTATTCATCTCGTATTTTAGGATTTAAGAGAAACATTTCCCAAATAACTTTTCTAAGCTTTAAAGGCAAAGGTCGGTTTAGACAGGTCAACAGTTTGGACCTCAAATCTGGCCATTTTTTAAGCAAATCCGCACACGCATCAGAAGCAGAATCCAATACAAGCTCTGTTTTAGGCTTCTTGTTGGAGGGATTCATCAATTCTTCCATTATTCCATCATTTATCTGCTGATCAAGGATAGCAGATACCCTAGCAACCAAGTTACTATGTCGAAAACTGGTTCTGACGAGCTTAGATGCTCGATCTAAGAACAGAATCTTCTCGGAATCGGTGAGGTCTGAGAAATATGAAACATGGTTCTCTGTTAGTTGTTGTCGTACAGCTTCGAATACTTCTGATACAAGCTCTTTCCATTCCTTAGTGCTAGAGATATCTTCCTTTGCATGTGAAAGCCAAGGAGCTTCAGCTCTTTTAGCCGCCATCTTGTTTACATTTTTGTTTTGTGTAGGGAGGGAGGGGAGGGAGGGGAGGGAGGGAAAGGAGGGGTGGACAAAAACCTAAGATTCTTATTTTTCTTTTCTTTTAACCTAGAATTTAAAAACAAAATGATTTCCTTCGTGAATGTTTCATTTTCATTCACTAGGAATTTTTTCAAGATTCTTAAATGTTAAGAAAATTAAAAGAAAGCTATAATTAAAAAAAATTGTATATAGTTTGAGATACCTGTGGTAGAATATCATCGAGTAGGGCCTGGGTTTCCCGCCTTAAAATTAAAATCGAGGAGACGCCATGTTTTAAATCTTTTATGAAAAATGCTGCGGAAAACGATAAAATAATTCCTCAAAACTCTACTTTTGTGAGTCAAAAATAACAGCCATGTTCGTAGAAAAGCTCAAAGAAGAAGTCTACGATGTTATCGCTCAAGAAGTGAGTAGAATTTGTCGTATTTTTGCGTGAATTTGGTTCGAACATTTTGCAACAGGACGAAGAAAAAGAATGTAAACACTAACTTTACTGTTGTACTTTAGCGTGTCCTGGTTCTTGTGTCCATGGATGTTGATGCTTTATGTTCATGCAAGATCTTACAAGTAAGTACTTTTATTTTGTTTAAAGATAGTGATGTGTTTCGATAAGGTTTTGTACAAATGTACATTCATATGCTAAACTACTAAGATACTATGCTAAACTCTTGTTTTTGGTGTACATCATCTTGGGAATAAAAATAAAATACCTGTCCCCAGCACTAGGGTCACCCTAACTTACATGGGGTCTCATAGACCATTTACATGAAAGAAGGGTGACTTCACTGGTAGGGTTTTTTTCTTGGGTTTAAGTAAAACAAAAGACTTGTTGCCAGCACCAGGATCATCCTACCCTACACAGGGTCTCAGAAGCCATATTAATGAAAGTAGGGTAACCCTACTGCTAGGGCCAACACTTTTGTTTTGGGTGTCCGCTAAGAAAGGAAAACAAAGGACTCGCCCCTAGCACACCCTACCTTACGAAGAGTCTTGAAGGCATTTACGTTGAGAAAGAATGACCCTTATTGCTAGGATTTAACACTTTTTTCTCAGGTGTCCCCCCTTGGAAAGGAAAACAAAAGACTTATCCCAGAAACACTCTACTTCTATGTAAATCAACCTTTGTGTCAAACTAACTTAAGTATTTGAATGATCAATGTTTTAGTGGCTGTTCAAGTGTGACAATATTCAATACACACTAGTCCCAATTAGTGGTAAAGAGGATCTAGCAAAGGCATATTTGGAACATTCTGACCAGGTAAATTAATATAATGATTATATTAATATTTATATAATAAGTTTAAATAAACATTGCTTGATATCACTTGGATCAGCAACATTTGTGTGCTATGATATGATTGAAGGAAACTTTTTTCTACTTTTTTTCAGATTAAACATATTTTTCTCATCAATTGTGGAGGGAATATCAATTTACTTGAGACATTGGAACCTGATGAAGATGTGAGATTTTATGTTGCAGACAGGTATTCATATCTCCTTTCCTAACTCATAAATTACTGTCCAAATATGATGTTGGTTGCTGTGGTGATTTTTGTGATGCTACTTCTTATGTTACCACTGCTCTTAGACGTGCAATTATTGAACTGCAGGAATTTCTTAGGACGTAAGTACCATATATTATGATACGTTTTTAATAGGTATTGTTTTGGCTTTCATCTTATAGTCACAGGCCATTTGACTTGGACAACATTTACAATCAAGATCAGGTGAGAATGGAAATTGTTTTCTTTAAAGATAAAATTATGTGTAACTATATTAATTAAAATGTCACCAGGTCAAGTTACTCATGAAAGAAGGAGAAACCCTAGAGGTTCCAGAATTTGATGACATTTATGCAGATTCTGAGGTAATTTGGCAAAGTTATTTCAATCATACTATAAACATGAACTTTCGAAATTCTTAATTTTTCATAAGTGTTTTTATTTGCTGTTTTTCATAAATTTATTATTAAGGATGAATTTGATGAAGATAATGATGAAGAAGACAATGATGATGGTTCAGAGCCATCATCAAAGCGGCAAAAGACTGATGGGGAGACGTCAATTAGTTCAAGAGGAAAAAGACGGCAGTGGGAAAGAAAAAGGTAAAACAAAATCATCAGTTTATGTAATTATGCATTTTCTTGTTTATCTTACTAGCAACCAAAGTGGACATGTGCCATTGAATAAATCTGTCAGTGCATCAGTCAGATAGTCTGTCAAACAGTCCATTTACTTATCCATCCATCCATCCATCCATCCATTCATTCCATCAATAACCTAACTACTTGATAACATTTTCTTTCAGACAGGACATTCTGTACAGATACTATGAATTTGCATTTTATGGAACAGCAGTAAGTGTTACTGGATTTGAAGCATTTATTTTGTCGAAGCTCAAAACTTCAAAAACTGCAGTTTGAGCACTTTTTGGAGTTCATTTATTACTACTAGGACTTATTAGTGGTAGTTCAAAGTAGTTTCAGATGATGAATGTTTCTTTTCAGTCTTCAGTTATAATGTATGAACTTGCATGGAAGATGAGTAAAGACAGTAATGACTTACTATGGTAAGCAAGCAGTCATTTTTATCATCATTATTTCTTACTTATTTACTGAGATGTTTTATTGCTTGTAATATTCTTCCTCTAAGGTGGAGTGCAATAGGACTGACAGACCAGTTTGTCAATGAAAGAATTGACAGGTATTTTGTAAAATTCAATATATTATATTCAAGTAGTATCCAATTGTAGTAAGTATCAATATCCAAAGAGCTAAAGGGTTAGGGTTAGGCTAAAGGGAACCTATTGATAACTGCTCACTATTGTGTTTTGTTGTAGCGATAAGTATGTTAGTGATGCAGAGAGTCTACATGAACATGTGATGCGACACAACCATGGAACAGATGAAAATGGTGTCTCTATCAACTGTATGAAAATTGCTTTTGACACAGAGTATCCTTGTCTGACTTACATTAGCACTAGGAAATCATTGAAGATGTAATCTAGCAGAACRCTCTGTTGGCTATAGTTGATAATCCTGCCTGGAGTAACTATTCTAAGCTTAAAAGCTAACACAATGATCCATTTTTACGCAAAACTTGATTTATGGGTGATGGTTTTCTTGTTGCCAACTCTATACAGTATATCTGAAAACCCCGTGCATACAAAAACAAAGGCACTCTTTGTTGTACTGTACATATTGAAATGTGAAAATGTTGTAAAAGTTAGAGTAATAGGTTTCCATGGCAACCCCATGTGTGATGTGATACAGTTACTGGTTGCACCTTAACAATGTTTTCAGGATGCGTTTGGCATTATACAGACACTGGTCTCTGTTTGATAGTATTTGTCATTCTAATTATACTGCATGCAGGTAAGATGGAGAGCAATATGGGTAATGACACTGGTCACACACAAACAGACCAATGCTCAACCAGACACTGGCCAAGAATGATGCATGGATTAATATCAACCATGTGACAGTAGTCTGTGATGAATTAATATGCCTGTTCTCATATCTGCTCAGGTTTAGGGTGTGGACAATGAAAGGAAAAAAGAAGTTACATGAATTCTTGGCTGATATGGGGTAAAGTAAAGATTTCTCTTTTCTCTCTCTTTCTTAAACTATACATGGTATGGTCCTGGTTCGAAATTGATGCTATTCATTGAACAAAATGTAGCATGCAAGGATAATACTTATCTAGTCACATCGTGAACGCATGATCATGTGCAGTATGGATTCTGTACATTGATCAAGCCTTTCTGTGCCTGTAAGCCTTGAAATGTTTTCAAACATTTCAAGCAGTTATTGTCATTTTGATTCCATAGTATCCCACTTGCACAGAGCAGAGAAAATTACACCAGTATGGATGTAGAGTTGAGGAATAACCTAAAGGAATGGGTTTGCACTTCAGCTGAAAAATTTGGGTAAGTCTTTCATCATGTTATCATCCTGATGGTCTATCTTAGAGACATGCATGCATATGCTTCATATAATAAAACATGCTTTAAAAGTATTTGTTCTCTTATAGAATGGATGAAATAACATATGGATCGTTCAATGTTCAATATGGATTCAGAAACAAGGTGAATAAATACCTGATTAATGTTATAATAATATTGTTGTGCAGTTGAAGAGAGGTCGACACACTGGCTTGGTTAAAAATCAAATGGAACACATGACAGCATATTCACTAGACCTTGTTACTCATGTTACAAGAATATCTTGCAGCTCACTTAGTGTCTTTTCTTTTCTTTCTCTCCAGCTTTGTGCAAGTGATTGTGTTTATGCTGTCATTGCTTTACTAGAAGCACCGGTATGTAGCTGACAAGTGCTAAAGAGGGTTATGTTATTTTAATAGAGCAGTTGTTGGCATGAATGTAAAAAAATCTATTGATATGGACTGTATTCTACAGTGACCATGACTGTTTTCAAACATACAAGATTGAAATTTTTACTTTTTGTCATATTTTTCAGGAAGAAGCTAGTAAATCAGATAAATTCCTGGAAGCACTGGACTCTCTTTCAAGGTAGAGTTACCTAAAAGTTAATACAATATTAATAATTTAACGCCATGCATCTCAAATCTCTATCAAAGTTTGATAGAATGATCCAATTTTAGCTAGAAGATGTACAAAATAGCTACTGGTGTTATGTCAATGTGACAGCTTGAATCATCTGTTTTAAATGTTCTCATTTTATTTTACTTACTGCAGGTCCAACACAAGTCTTCTTAATGAAGGGATCACAATGGCTAAGACTCAGGTCAGTAACCTTTTACATTGCTTCTCTTCTCAATAGCAGGTGTAAAATCATCAACGCAAGAAAGTAGGTCTTAATAGGCGTCAATCAAGGCATTTCCATGACATTCCATAGGCATGTGCCCTTGAAAACTTTGTGATTTACAACGTTTTCATTTCTTGTTTTTGGACAATGTTATGTAAACAATTCCATTGATGTCCACCAAAATCCAATTTTTTCATGATAGCAAATTGTAGGATTCCATGAGTGCTATAGAGAAGTGAGTGGCAAAGAGGTCAGGACCATTAGTGTTCAATGTAAACGATTTATGACAATTATTTTATTCAACAGATGATTGCATTAGTCAACCAAGTCCGTTCATTAATTGACATGCATCAAGTTGTGTGTGCTGGGCCGTTCCTCTATGCATATCTGCGAGAGGTTAGTAACCTTCTATATTTCCCATTAAAAACCAGCTTTAGATGCAGTTATCAAACTGGGTAGCAGGATGCGCAATATTGTGTCTGTTCTTGCATTGTTTGATTTGGCTAGCAGCCATTCTTCAATCTATTTTACCAAAGGAAGCCCATTCAATGATAAGCCGCTAAACATTCATCAACAGTTTACTAACTTTTTCTCTTCATTTTAAGGGAACTCCTGACCTCAAAATGTTCAGTAAGCCCATCGTTCTTGGTGCACTTGCACGATATGTTCTCAGTGCATATGTAGGAATGGTATGCTTAAAGTACTTTATTCTGTATTATTAATTTTTAGTTGAAATATTTTAATACTGTTCAGGTGACCAAAGGCGTATAGCCACATGATTTAGCAATCACATGTCTAGAAATGCTCAATTGGTGAATTGTCATCGATCTTGTAATTCAGTTTGGACATGTGTATTCCGTCTTATCACTAATTGCATCACTAATTATTTGTTTGAATTCCAAAGTCTAAGAATAAAAGAGCAGCTGCCTTGCCGTTCGTACTGGCCGTACCACTGGATACTGATAAGGGTCAGTAAAACACTTTCTGATTGTTTATCATAGACTATTATCATATGGCATATCCTCAACATTTCAAGTAGTTCTATTATTTTTCGTCAGTTGTCAGGCGCATTTTTCAAAATTGCGCGCGTAAGGTGTTCGCTTTTGCACCTTTCTTATACTGTGTGCAGCTTATGCGCTTCTCTCTAAAAAAATTGCTTCTATTTTAGGAGTTTAGGTGTCAGGCACCTTTTTGATATTGCGCGCGACTTGTATTCACTAATGGAGGACTTATGCGCAACTCTCTCAACGGATATATCGTAGACACGATTTTGGTCTTCAGAAGAAGAATAGTCGATACATGTATGTGTCAATAAACTCTGTCTTTGTTGTTGATGATAGGGACATGTTTAGTGACAGGCGTTCCACCAATCGCTGATGAGTCTAAAAAGAAGTAAGTGCATAATACTATCTATGACCTTGGCTGTGCTTAGTATTATAATGATATCTCATCCTTTCATATTGCTTATTAGTTTTCTTGGACGCGCTTTTGAAATGGCTGCAGAGAAGACCAAAGCGCGTTCTCAACATGACTACTTCGATCCTGCAGGTAAGTGATCCTCTCATTCAACCAATCGGTGCACAAGCATCAGCCTTACCAAATCTGCTGATTTTCCCCCGGCAGTAATTGAAATCAAGAGTGAAGATCGAGAGAAGTTCTTTGATGCTTTATCTGCTCTTCTCCTATAATCACTATTAATGATTGATGATTATCTAGTAAGTTAATGTCGCCACACAAATCCATGTAAATCCACTATAAATACTACTGGCTAGCCTGCGTAGCTGCGCTTTAGGCCCTTTTAAAGCGCCGCAACGCAGGCTAACTGGCTCGTAGAAGCGTGGCTTATTTATCCAAACCATGTGCAACATGAAGCTATCTCATGCAGCAGCCATTACCATGAGATTAAAACCTCTTGTTTATGGTAAACCTAACTGACTAGATCTCTAGAATGCAAGGCTGCGTGGAAAAAAAGCTATTGTTCAATCAACATGGGTGCCGCATGAGAAAGATCCATGTTTTAAAGCTATCTATCGTGTTATTAAGTAATTGGTATACTGCTGACAGGACTGTATCATGGACTCAGATAGTCACGTATGTAATATAAAAATGTAACCTGTAAGGTTTATTAATGTAATTGAATCTTTGTTAAAAATGCAACAAATCCAATACCCAATGAATCTAATTACTGACTAAAAACATAAGATAGCTTGGAAGCGGAATCCCTGTGAATAATCTGCTTTCAGTATAGAGTAGATTTTGTATGACTGCGAAACGGCAGGCCATATGGCACGGTCACGGTACTGTAATATTCAACCAATATACTAACTTTTAAGTTTATTTAAAAATACGGCTGTTCCACGGCGCAGTACGTGCGTAAAGTGTGTTTTTCAGTCATGCAAAATTTGATTTATCCGTTTTTCTTAAGGTTACGTGCGCATACAACCTCCTTAAAAAAATAGAAAGAGATTTTTAAAACTGTTTACGCCGCATTCACTTGTCGAAACGTTCCTTCGCGTTTGTTCAAGTATTTTGGGTTTGGCCGTAAGCGCGCAACCCTGAGATAAAGGTTTATATAATGATATAAAAATATAACCTTAATAAAATCTCCAGTATTATAATTGCTGATCATTCATTTCTTGTACATAAATGATGTGATAAGCCATCGCGTACGCTCACTCATCGTCTGCTGTGAAGATGAGTGATTCATCGAATATTGGATCATGTTTTTAAAATAATTGGATGTAAGGCCCGTGCATGAACTTTTTTCTAATGTATAATCAAAAAGTTCCACACATGCTAGAGTGACCACAGTAAATCCGTGAAACTTTAGTAATATTAAATAGCACAATTTCGTGCAAATTCCATTGTTTTCTATTGTTTAGCTAGCACTATTTTGTACTATTTAGTAATTAGTGTTTCACGGATTTACTGTGGTCACTCTATTAGTACCTTAACGCAATGTAACTAGACTGTAAATTCTAAATAAAAAAGAGAAAAAACTGCGTGTTTGATTGTCAAAAATTTTTCTCCACTGCTAAGAAGAATTTCCATTTTTTGATTGGTTGATAGTTTGTGGTGAATAAAGAGTCTACCGGGGTCAGTTGTAATCATTCGTTAAAAGCGCGTGCTTCAGTTTCCCGCTTCAGCGTTTCTTCCAGTTTGTTTAGCTGTGTTCATGATGGTTTCTAGTGGCATATCCCCTTTCTCCTTCGGTTGACACCATCGCAAACAGTGCTAAATGAGAAAACATATGAACAAACCCAAACTAGAAAATAAATCGACATTTATGGTATTTAGCGTAATGGCTAGTTAGGGACATAATTGAGGGGGGTATATATGTTTTTTGTAGTACCGCTCGTATTTTTCTTCTTTCTTTTTTTTGTTTTGTTTGCTCGGTATTTCTTTTCTGAAAGCTGAGGTGCTTGCTCGAAATTTACGCCAACCCCTCCCCTAATTTATCTAATGCTCCGTCCCTTAATGGATCTTATTTAAAACCTAGATGACACCTGTCAGTTTAAGTGACAAGGGGAATTGTTTAAAACTAATTATGAGGATGGGTGGCAAGACATTCTTCTAATAAACTGAAATAGCCCATGGCAACCTATCCCTCCTTGGGTTCGAGAGATTATCAAGCAAAATTTAGGCTATTTTCGTCTTTCTGAGAGTCCATAACTTCCGTAACTCAGGATTTTTGTCCATCTATGGAAAAACATAAACTATTAAATACTTACTAGAGACCGCTGGAAGTTTATTATAGCTGAGAACAACGAACAGAAAAACGTAATATCGTGAATATATAGAGGTTGTCTGGTTCGTAGAGACGAAAAACTCCGTAATAAAACTATACGGCTAAAATAATAATAGTATGAAATAACAGAGGGGAAAGGGAAAGAGCAAAATAATAAGGAAACGAAAGAGGAAGGTGGATAAAGGACAAACGAGGGAATGAAAGAAAAAATGAAGCAATAAATAAGAAATAAAAAAGGGTGAAGGAAGACGCTGAGGAATGCTTGAAAATACATGAAATAACTAAAGATGATCACAAATAAATCTTAACAAAGAAAGAAGGAAAATAGCTTGAAAAAGCAAGCTATTTGGTCGTGATAAAAGCACACAAGAGAAAAATAAATATGACGAAACAACAATGAAATGTGACTTCCGGTACCATGACACAGGAAGCCCATGAATTCATACAAAGAGCCACATACAAATAGTTGTGGTGGTGCACGGATATTCATGAGCAAACTTGCTAACAGAGTTTGTCTTCAAAATTCTTCCTGAAAATCCTTAAATTTTTCAGGTCCAAGGCTATTAATACATGAATCGACCTTTCAAGGACATATTTAGCCACTGAAAATGAAGGTATTGAATGACAGACTAGATTTAAGACAATAATTCACAAAGAGTTTTGGAGAGTTTCAGGTCATCAAGTCGTTCAAAACATTGGAGTATTTTAAAGAGAAACGTCTAAGATGAATGATTTAAAGGTAAGTTTATTTGTCAACACAAAAATAATGAATAATAAATCCTTTTTTGCTCTAAAAAAACTTGACTTTTAGTGATAACTTTAGTAGTTTTGCGAGTGAAAAATGTGAGCAGCACGATGACAGCTTTGATATTTCAAATCTAAAACTGCCGCTTTTTATAGTAAACTTTAACTTAAAACATTTAAGTTATCATTTAAGTTTAACACTCTGTTATCCTATCTTTATTCTGAAGTATATTAATCCAGAAACCCTACAAGAAAAGATTACAATTGAGAACAGAAATCTAGAGGTTTGAAGAAAGACGACCGACTATTCTGTTGTTGATAAAGGGTCGTTGGAGGTCAATATATAAAACTTTTTTTCACTTTTAGAATTGATTAAAATAAAAAAACTATGTTTTACAAGGATAAAATAATAATCTTTGATGTATATTGGGGATCATATTTCGCTCTTTTATAAAAATTGCGCTTTCTTTTAACTGTCAAAGACAGTTATGAAAGATCTCAATATCCACCGACGTGTAGAAAATTTGCCCAAAAAATATTAAAATTACTAAAATATGCGATCAAAGAATTTAAGACTAAGCTCTTTCTTTCAATAAACGGCTTTTGATTTATATTCTTTGAATCCTAAGCTTGAAAGTCTTTTTAAGTCTTCATATTTTCATGCTTGATAATTAGTTTCTCGTAGGACTAAGTTAAATTTGAGTTTTTTCATAACACATTTACAAACTAATCCTCTGTGCATCCGACATACAATCAAGTCTTTTCTTTTGATAATAAAGATTACGTCTTTATTCTCTAGCATAATAACTATCTTCTCCAGAGAATCAAAGGCTTCCACCGACGTATATATTGTCTAAAAAGCTCCTACCGAAAGTAAACATTGTAATTAGGAAGAATATTAAGATCATATCAGATATATATTTTAATCAACACAAAATCATATATATCATCAGGTGATATTAATAATAATAATGATAATGATAACTTCAGATGGATCAAAAATTACACATTTAAAGTAATATTAATTTTAAAAAAATACCTCTAAAATTTTCACGAGTGAATGATTGCAATAATTTATTCCAGCTTGGCATAAGACATGCCGTTTCTGCTTGCCGTCACCCAACACACATGACCAAATACAATTTAGTCGTAGTCATAAATAGTTGTTATAACATTTAAATAACTTGTCATTGTTTTCCAATCACGATGCTTAATTAAAGATAACCATAACATTATAGAACAGTATACTAAACTATGAACATAGGGAATCAAGAGTGATTCCTGGACGATCAGCCTCACATGTGAGTAAAGTTTGTTAGGTCTCTCTCTTAATTTTAGTTTTTTTTCCAGGTTCTCCAGTTTTCCTGCGTTTAATTTTCTTTTGAAAGTTATCAACTAATTAAAATTGTTGAAAAATTATGTAGGCTTCAATTTGCATTGCTATGATACATTAATCAAAATATCTATTGACATTGATAAGGACAGAAAGTGAAATGTAGTTTCTTTATATCCAAATTGTATACATGAAATAGATCTTGCATCACAATCACCATACATTTTGTTAAAATAAAGTATATCTTTGCTATATTTTCTGTTATGAAGACTATGTGAAAATTTCTTATTTTTACAAGAACTTGTTCATTATATTTGAAAAACAGAGAAAAAGTAGGGGAGGGGTAGATGGTTGTCTTCTCTTCCTCCCCTACCCCATCCCCCTTTTTTATGTAATGCCTAATGCTTGCACTAGTTGGTAATGCTGACAATGTCACACAATACCTGTTGTTGATATAATCGTGGTTTAGTATTTCAAAAACAAGGATATTTTTAGTTAGCTAAAATACATTATGATTAGAATGATATACAATACAATTTAGACTACAGTAACTTGAAACATTTTTAGTAATTTTTGAAATAATTCTTGTATTACCATGTGTAGTCATATATTAAACCTATCTTCTCCATGCAGAGCTCTTTTTTATCTCGTAACATATTCGTGTTACCTATAAGATATAAGTGGTGACCCTCAGAGGTACATTAGCAAGAGATTTCCTCTTCATTCTAGTCCATATATTCATAATTCATAGCCTTTAAAGCTAAGGATTAAATGCTTAGTCTAGTTTATACATTTCTTCAATTTGCTTAATGTAGTTTATGTGTATACAAGAGCACAAAGATTATGTAAATGAACTCATGTTTCCTGTCTGTTTTGTTTACTTTTAGCTCAACTTAGATAACAACAGCTTTGAATATATTAAATACCACATGACTTGACTGTATCTAACATCATGTTAGGTTAATACTAGTGTTTTTTCTTCGTCCAGCTGCAAGGAATGTTGTTATATCTAACCTGGTTTATCCATGAGTTGTTATCAACAACAAAAGGTCATTCATCACTCGCTGGTTTACCTTCTTTCTTTACAATCCTATTAGATTTTCTGAATGTTTTGAAAGCTGATTTGAAATCAGGTTTTCAAAGTTAGTTGAAACTAGTTGTTTTGATTGACTGACTGTGTAATACCTGCAGTTGGAGCCATGGTCTTCCTATGTGTGTTAGGTATTATTAAGGTAAGGTCATGACATTATATTGTTCCTGTGAGTGCAGTAATAGGATCAGATCAATTGTCATTTGATTCTCTAGTTGAATGCACACAACCGTTCACCTATTAGGTGTGGTAAGCTCCCATTGGATGGCCTTGTAGGTCAATGTTTTATATCCAGCATCAGGATTTGATTGCAATTCAGGGGCATTGTTCTGGAACCTTCAAAGATTTATGCCTAAACACTTACCTCACAGATTTGTAAAATGGCTTCCAGTGTTACCGTAGATTTGGGGATTTCAAAATACAAAAAAAGCTATGAATTCAAGACCGATTGGTATCACCAGAGACCTGATTCAGGATACTTTCGTAGCCTTAAACTGGTGAGAAGAATTAACAGAACTTATTATTTTTACGTTACTAGAGATTTTATTTTCTTATTTCAAATATTATTTTATCTCTTAGCTGAGTAAAAGCTTAAAATCTTTCAATTCCAAGTAGTAGTTTTGAATTTCACAAATTTTGTTGCATAGTGCAAGCTCCATCTGTGGTTATTACGTTGATGTTTCTAGCATTTGTGTGTGACAGAATGTCAAATATTAATCACTGAAAAACATGCCGGTCTTGATTCCAAAGGGTAAACACAACAGACATCCATTAACTTAATAAGAAAATTTTCTTTCTTAAATCTAAGAGGAATCTAGTATGTTTTTGTCTATAAATTAAAAAATGCCTTCTTTAGTTAATATTATCATGCTAATATTATACCACGATGTTGTGGGTACATATTTGGTACGGATGTCAATATAATGTTTAACATGTATTACTTATTAATGACATCACTATCCCTTAAAGACAATTAGTTCAAAGATAATTTCCCTCATTAATTAAATTATACTGAGACAAAATATCGAATCAAAAGGCAATCATTTTTAAACATTGATTAAAGATATGCACAAATTGAATTATTTTAGGTAAATTAAATATCTCTTGCCTTTAGCTTACAAGATTTATTATTGTAAATCACCAACTCTTACCGCTGGCTCCACAGTGTCTGATTTAAACATATTTCAGCCAATTAATCATTATTTGACATGATTGTTATATTTACTCTGACATTAATGTGCTAAACATTTTCCTATAAAATTGTATTTCCTAAAAGAATTCAATTCTAAGACATGCAAAAAAGTGTGCCACCATGTAGCTTTGTGTTCTTGTTGTATTTTTTTCCTAAAAGTGTCTTTAATTAGTTTATTTATTTTGTATTACATTGTAATTATCTTTTTTTTAAACCCTCTTACCTATCCCCATTAGATATTATAGAATATCATTTCTTAAAATTCAAATCTAAAATGGATGAATTATTTTTGTTTATTTGTCTATTAATGGTTCAATTATTTTACATCTTATGAACTCAGTAAATTATTAATCAAAATCTGTTCACTTAGTATAATAGGAATATGTACTTAACATTCACTGATAAACATCAAGGCTTTAAGATATTTTAATAACAATTTCATAGTACTGTATAGCATTTATTTATTGGGTTCAATTTGACAACATATTTTGTGGAATAATTTATTTTTGTATAGATTGGATATTTTGTATTTTTGTATAGAATAAATGTCATTTAAAATTTGACAACGGAAATCGTACTTTTATTATTCTACAACATTTATATTGTGATTGCATGAGGAGTATTTTATTTAATTTTATATATAACAAATACAAGTTGTATCAAAAGGTTTTGCTAGAAGGATGTGTGTAAATATTTTTATGGCATTATTAGTATAGCAGAATATAGGGGGAAATTCCCCACTCTCTTTCCACTAAAAACAATGCTGTTTCATGTGATTATAAAACTATTCCTGCTCTTCAAAAATATTAGTTAATTAAATTTTCCTATAAATGGTGGACATATGTCATTTACTACCAGAAACCATTAGTGTTTATTTTGAAATAGGCAGCTATGGCTTGCCAGATTTTATTTTTTATAAGTCGCGTCATGAATATCTTAGTAGTTTATACATGTACATATATTTCACGAATAAAAACAAACCAAATGAATGCAGCATATAGTTCAATATGTGTGGCAGGGATTTTACAGAAAAACTAAGGGTTAAATAAATTGTTTACTATTCGTAAATAAATTCTTTAGTATTTAATAAGTTATTTAGTATTTTTTAAATTGTTTTTGAAGCATTTATTTGAACACTCAGGATACTCTATAGCGCATGTTTTTCCCTCGATGAATGCTATATTTTCTCAGCATTAAGCAAAAAAAAAAAAAAAAGAATTCAGTAACCCCAATTTTTTTTTATTTTTTGAACAAGAATATGTTGGGGTATGTTTATGCCAAGTTTACAAAAATTCTGATTGTGACTTCATTTCCAGGCAAACGTCCTTATCCAGTACTAGCAAATTTACCAAATGGTTGATATAATATATTATATATCCATGTCTGTGCAGGAAGCTTCCTATTATAAGAACAGTGTGTACTACAATTAAAACCCAGGTGTTGAAATCAACACAGCCCTAAGGGCTTTTAATGCTATATATCTTATCCTTCCCTAGACATAATACACTATAATCAAATCTGTGTTTTGATGTATATTCTTTATGTAGATTAACCCTAATGATTTCTACTAGTTTCTGTTTGTTTGGGAAGCAGACTTTTTGGAATTGCTGTGTTCAGTTTTGTACTATTTTATGACCCCAATTATTTGGTTTCCGATTGGATTTCATGCATGATTACCATGTCGTAAGAAATCCTTGTGAGGGCAAAACATGCCAGTTATGACCTGCTGAYGTACACAGCAGTCTAGTATGCATCCTATGCTATCTTTAAGCACCACGTGCACATATATGATTGTTAATCCATCCTACGTCACAGTTGGATAATCAATTGTTTTGAAATCAAAGTCTAGATTCATCATATCTACTGTAGAGGTTGTTTTGATTTATATCCAGCAATGACTGCATTTAGGATAACATTAGCTTTGACGTAAGCAGCTTTTGACCTTGATGACATTGATGTTCAGTGTTCAATTTGAGAGAAAATCCAGACTTGTAGACAAAATCAGCTGTGTTAGATCCTGATCTTGAACCTCAAAACAATGCCAGGATGAAATATATTTTTCTGTTAAAAGTTACCAAATTACTACTAATTTCATTTTGATTCCTGATCCAATAAAAACTATTGATCTTGATCCCATAATGTTTTTTAATTGATCTCAAAAATTTCCTCTAAAACGGTATTGCTAATCCCTAATCAAACCTTCCAGGGTAATGAATTTGACATGTTTGTTAAGTCACTCTGAGGGTTAAAAATTTATTTCTTTTTAAGTTCTTGGGGCAGGATATTTAACTGTACCCCCAAGATATCAAATCCCCTTGGGTCTGTCTGTCTGTCTGTCTCCAACCCTTAGCTTAACATCATACACCTTAATTACGCTCCCTGCTCATTTCCCTTCCATGTTATCATATCATAATTCAGCCCAACTCATCAAAAAATAAGTTGTTATCATAAAATAATAAAAACAACAATAACAATAACAGTTGTCTTTATTTACATTGTAGAGAGGGTGGCACTTTACGGTTGCCTGAATTCTGCACTGATAAACTTGTGGCACTCTCCTGTATGTCTATCTAAGAGAGACTAAGAGCTAAGAGAGACGGGACTGCCATTTTACGTGGTCATCCAAGCCATGGCTAAATTCTGAGAACCATTTGCAGACATTTTTTAAAGCAAAGGCAGTGCCTTCAACTCAGATATTTTAAGACCCTGAGTGTTGGTCTGGCCGAGATTTTGAACCCATGCATGATCTACCACACTACACCTAGGCAGTTCCACCATCCTAATAAAATCTCACTCTTCCAAATAACAGCACTCACATTTTCTAATGTATGACTTGTTTCTAATAGAGTGATGATGAGCTAGAGGAAGACATGAAGGATGAGATTGATAGTGTTATGGGCCTGCTAGACAGGCTAAAGGAAGAGAGGAAACAAGAGCTTATGTCATCCCAGGTGAGATTCAAATATTTTCTACTGATCAATAATGAGCTGTGAAATTTTTGTGTTCTTTATGGTTGCTGGCGTTTTCCCAGAGAGTGCAAGCTTTGCTTTTATGTCATTATACTACAGTGAATTTGTAAATATAGTCAATTAGAAATCACCCTTTTTCTGTTATTTGTGAAAAATCCTAAAAAATTTCATCTGAGTTTCTTTTGTGTCCCATTCTTAGCTAGAGCTCATGAGTTTAGCACAATGAGAGCCAGTTTATTTTGCCATCAACCACATATTATTTTTACTGTAATAATTATGCAGTGGCAAAAAATAGAAAGTTTCTCCTTTGAGAAAATGAAATATTCATTTTAAGGCAAGAACACAGTTTCTGCCATAAAACTCCTCTATACCATCAATCTCTTTGTAGTAGAAGAACTAACAACCTCATTTTGCTAGTACATAATTTGACATATAATACAGTATTCTTACAAAATATTACTCTAGTCTGTCATTTGTTCAATGTGTTCAAACTTGAAGAGTTGTTAAGAAGTATTTAGTTTTAATATTACTATTTCCCCCCTTTTCTTGTGGCACAACAAACGAACAGACAGATAAGCTTTCAAGACTAGAGAAGTTAAAGAGATCAAGATTAAAAGAAACCAGTGGCGTTGATGTAAGTATTGTAAAGACAATCTCAACCCTGTTCATCTTCCTTGACCACCAGCAAATGTTAATGCAGAATATTCTGCAGGGATACACTGTACATGAGGAAGAGTCAGTTTGGGTGAATGCAGTTTTGCATTATTCTAGGTACAGTTACGATAAGACAGTAGTGACAGTATTTGGAGTTCAACTTTTTCTCATTCTGGGCCAATCACGCAGGGTTACTGCTCATCCAATTAGAATGCTCACACACAGCACTCTCATAACACTGTAATGCATGGTTATGGTACACAACTGATGTCTTTCAGCCAATCACATTGTTGTTTTGTAATGCACGGTTATAGTACGCAACTGATGTCTTTTTTCAGCCAATCACAGTGCGTGCAGTCAACACTCTTGTTTTGTCTTTCAGACTACAAACGGCGATAAGCACATGACAAGGATTGAAACACAAGGTACAGAACAAAAAACAGATCCCTCTATGATTTCTTTCTGATGATGATAATAATATGTCAACACTTCAACGTAAAATTTGTCCTTACGTAGTGGTAATGCACTCAACACCTCTGGGGTCTTGGATTTTATTCTGGTACATATACCCAGCATCACATGTGAGAAGAGATCGTTAGGTCTGTCGTTTGAGTTAAGGGTTTTTCACCGTATTTTTCGGTTTTCCCCCTCCACAAAACTCAACACGCTAAATTTACTATTCATCTGTGAGTTAGCGGTGCCCTGACTTAGATCAGCCCAGAGATTGTTTCAGGGTTTGATCTGTGAGTTAGCCGTGCCCTGACTTAGATCAGCCTAGAGGTTGTTTGCAGGGTTCTATCGGTGAGTTAGCGGTGCCCTGACTTAGATCAGCCCAGAGATTGTTTCAGGGTTTGATCTCTGAGTTAGCGGTGCCCTGACTTAGATCAGCCCAGAGATNACTTAGATCAGCCCAGAGATTGTTTCAGGGTTTGATCTCTGAGTTAGCGGTGCCCTGACTTAGATCAGCCCAGAGATTGTTTCAGGGTTTGATCTGTGAGTTAGCTTTGCCCTGAGTTCGATCAGCCCAAAGGTTGTTTTAGGGTTCAATGAAAGTGATGTCTAATTTTGTCTTATGTTTTTTAGTAAGCGGAAATCGGCGTCCACCAGAAGAACCTATTGATGTAAAGATAAGACTGAATAGAGACGAGTCACGTGACGAGGAAGAAGATGATTTACAAGAGGGCTATCGAGAAGGACAGCAGAAGCGAAAACAAGATACCATCATAGCCGAACTAAGGGAAAAGGCTCAGGTAATGGGTGTACGTTTTTCCTATACAAATAAAAATATCCCAACTGTTCCTATCCTAATTCATGTTTCTTAATTGTCTTTTATTCATAGATTATTAGTAAGAGTGCTCGTAAAGGGCCTGAAGATGTAGCAAGTGCGCTGTCTAAAACACATCATATCGAGGACGATCCAGAGTCCGTAAGTATATGTAAAGACGACCTTTGTAGCTGAGGAAAGGGTGGGGACTGGGTGCGGACTGGGTGCGGACTGGGTGCGGACTGGGTGGGGATTGGGTGAGGACTGGGTGGGGATTGGGTAGGGACTCGGTGGGGATTGGGTGGGGATTGGGTGGGGACTGGGTGGGGATGGGGTGGGGATTGGGTGGGATTGGGTGGGGACTGGGTGGGGAGATGGGAGGACACGGATGAGTTGAGAGTGAAAGAATGGGAGATACTGTGAAGTCCCAGAAACTGTGAACATGTGTGTTGAAGTACACCACTATCCATGTTTCTATGTTGATACAATTTAATAAGACAGTAATGATGAAAAGGTAAATTATACACCGTGAAAAGATGAAAAAACTTACTAAGTAAGTAAGTTTTTTCATCTTTTCACGGTGTATAATTTACCTTTTCATCATTACTGTTTCATTAGAAACACCGACGCAGCTCACACTAGTTTTTAGCTAGTTATATCAATTTAATAAGACTCAAACGAAGAATTTAAATCATACAGAAAATAAAAAGGTTAAGTAGCTTGACGATTGAACATAAAACCTAAACTACTTCCATAATGGTAATGAGTCAATTTATTTTCCTCTCTTCCATTCATCCTAACTGATTGTGTCTTTATTTAGGCGCAGTACTTGAGAAAGATCCGCGATGCCAATGCAGTAGAAGCAGTAAGTATAACTGGGACCAAAGATTATATAAATAATACGCACATTGCGCATTCACTGGGGTATTACACTTCGATTGTATTTTTTATTCTCTTAAACTCTCTCTGTGCATACAGCCTGTAGTTCTTGGCAGTTTAGTATATGTCATTTGATGGTAGTTTTGTGCTCACCAGTCAGAAGACAAAGAAAACAAAGCAGAAAAAAAAGTGGAAAGAAGCGTCGTAACAGTGGACTTCCCAACACCTATCTCACCAAGGAAGACGGTATTTATTCACACTATTCCTAAACTCATTATAAAAAGGGTACTCTTTAGTTGAGCACTTTTTCTCAAGCCTTAATTTGCTCTGTGATAATATTGTACTTGAACGTCCCTTAACAGAGTATCATGGCTTTCTGTTTTTAGAGCGTGACTGTCAAGTTGAACCTCGATATGCAGAAGTCAAAGATTGCAGTGGCCAGAGGATCAGGTCTCCAAGGACGAAGAAAACCAACTACTGAACACATACGAAGAAGTTTGATGCTGAGTGATGACGAAGAACCCGAAGATGTGTTGGCGGCGGGATACGAGGCTGAACATGAAGAGTAAGTAATAACGATTTTCTTACGACGATGTGGCGACGATGTTCCGAACATGCGCAGTGGGTTTTATCTATGCACCCATAGTAAAAACAGACTGCGCATTTCTGGAAAATTAGTGAGAAAATGGAGGGTGTAGTTGAGTGAAAATGAAGGTGGCATCAAAATTCAGTGTCTAACGTTTTGGATATTGTAGGATACTATCCTGTGTATGTTCATTATCATTCACCTTTTCTTTTATACTCTATTCTTCTCTTCTTTTCTGCGGAGTATCAAAGTTTACTTATTTTTTAAATTGTAATTACAGTATGGATGGGGAAGTCAATGCTGCTATTAGTCCTGTAGAGACGAACTCCTTAGAATCAGCCGATCCCTTAATGTTTGGCAAGCCAATAGAAGCGAAAATCATGCCGACAAGTCCAGTGGAATATGGGCAAAAAATCAACCTTGAACGACGAGGAAGTTTCGAAGGATTGATTCCAAGATCCACGCCTAAAGAGCGCAAGCCAGCCTGGAAGAGCAAGACATATGGCGGGGTGGCTCTGCCTGCTTTTGCTGAGGCCATGAAGGCTGGTAGTAAGAGTCTGAAGAAAACAGATACGGCTGAGAAACTGGTGGGTGTCACAACACATTATTTTTTCCCGGTCCGGTATCCTAAAAAATCGTGCGTTCTGATTGGCTGTTTGAGCGGGCGGTATTTTGTCAGTATCTGCCCGCGGTCGCGGTCCGGTATCCTTTGCCGCTAAACAACAAAACAAAACGATTACAGAAACAAGTAGAAAAATACGGGGGGAAAATAAATAAGTTTTTTTACCGTCCTATAGTTGGTCCGGATAGGGACCCTGAGTCTTGCCCTCGGTATATTCAAGTTTTTCCCTATCCGGACCTCCTGGCCGGTAAATAACATATATGTATGACTCACATGAAACCACTCTGGGGGTAAGATATCTGGGGGTACGAAACGTCTGGGTAATAGAACAAGTCTAGGTCCAGTGCTACAGGAGCATGTACCCAGATAAACCAATGAACTAGAAACTCTGGAAAGACCCTCTCGTAGGTTTTTGGAAATGTTAAAGAGGCTCAGAGAATTACATGCAGCCAAAAACAAAGACCTCCAAGGAAATGTTGACGTTTCTAGGGTAACGGTTACCATGAACATTGCTGATGACGTCATTATTGTTACATCATCTTCTCATGTGTTATTTCTGCAATACTATTTTGCAGTTAACGGCTGATATTGTCAAGCAAGCTGCTCTCAATAAACTAAACAAAGCAGCCAAAGAAGACAGACCAGAAAAGGAACCAGAGACACCGGATTGGATGGTTGAAGCCGAATCCAGAAGAAAACACCATGATCGTCGTAGAAAAGCAGTGAAGCAAAAGACTCCACAACCCGAGTCTAATGGTATTCCCATCAGGCTGAAGGCCACAGGATCTAAGATCTTCCAAGATGAAAATGAAATACAACAAACCACCGAGTCTGTGCCCCAGGAGGACTCCGAGAAAAATAGGTTTGTCGTTAAACTAAAACCCGTTAGAACAAGAGGTAATAAACCTACTTTTGAACCTGAAGAAGCTAAGATCTCCTTTAAACTGAAGTCAACTGGAATTCAATTGATCAAACCTGAAGAGACCCCAGAAGAACCAGAATCAGCAAAACCAGAACCTACAAGCATCGAACGAGAACCTGAGCCACCGAGAATCCTACGAGAAGAACCCGAACGTCCTGTAGTCCCTGCCGAAGTAAAGTACTTTGAAATGGTACCTCGTACGAAGGATATTGCTGAGGTGAATAAGAATGAAGAACCTGCGATGCAAGTGCGGCTTCGACAGGAAAAGGTACCTCGTACGAAGGATATCGAGGTGAATAAGAATGAAGA